AGGCCGCCCGCATGCGGCAGCTGGCTGAGGACGACCTGGCGCAGCAGCGGGCGCTGGCGGAGAAGATGTTGAAGGAGAAGATGCAGGCGGTGCAGGAGGCCACGCGGCTGCGGGCTGAGGCTGAAATGCTGCAGAAGCAGAAGGATCTGGCGCAGGAACACGCCAAGAAGCTGCAGGAGGACAAGGAGCAAATGCAGCAGCGCCTGGCTGAGGAGACCGAAGGCTTCCAGAAGACACTGGAGGCCGAGCGCCGGCGGCAGCTGGACATCACAGCTGAGGCTGAGCGCCTCAAGCTGCAAGTGGCCGAGATGAGCATGGCCCAGGCCAAGGCTGAGGAGGAAGCCAAGCGGTTCAAGAAGCAGGCGGAGGAGATCAGTGAGAGGCTGCATGAGACGGAGCTGGCCACACAGGAGAAGATGACGATGGTGCACACCCTGGAGATCCAGCGGCACCAGAGCGATGAGGACGCAGAAAAGCTGCGGAGGGCCATCGCTGACCTGGAGAAGGAGAAGGAGAAGCTGAAGCAGGAGGCAGCGCTGCTGCAGCAGAAGGCAGAGGAGGTACTGGGCTGTGGGTCTCCCGTAGTGGTGGCGGTACACAGGGAGGCTGTCCCTCTTCCCAGCCAGCCCACACCATCCCTGGGCAGGTCCCCGAGGACCGTCACTGGGGATGGTGGGGCAGGATCCCCTGTGCAGGTCAGGGATGCGCGTAGAGTTGGGGGCAGTGGAACAAATCCCTCAGGCAGCGTCGGAGCAGGACCCCGAACCCCTGGAGCTGTGGAGGTGGGATCCCCATCGCCTGGGCCGGCTCTTCCACCCCGTGGCGTGTCCTGCCGTGTTCTTCTCTGTGCCCGGCTCTCAGCCTTAGTGCTGGGGCTTCCCTTGTGTCCTTCCCCTGCTCATCCTGCCCCATGCTGTGTGTGGCTCCCTAACCCGGCTCTGCTCCTTAACTCCTACCTGTTGTAGGGAGTGTGTGGGTGACTCTGTGCCTCCCCTGCCTCCCGTCCCCCTGCCTCAGACCACCCTCAGTCCCCCACTGCCTTCCTGGGTGTCTGACCACGCTGTTCTCTCTCCCACCCCAGATGCAGGTGGCCCAGCAGGCTCAGCTCCGTCAGGAGACGCAGCTCCTGCAGCAGAGCTTCCTGACGGAGAAAGATGCCCTGCTGCAGAAGGAGAAGTTCATTGAGGAGGAGAAAGCAAAGCTGGAGAAGCTCTTTAAGGATGAGGTGAACAAAGCCCAGAACCTGAAGGCAGAGCAGGAGCGGCAGCAGCAGGAGATGGAGCAGGAGAAGCAGCAGTTGAAAGCTATGTTAGATGAAGCTAAGAAGCATCAGAAGGAAGCTGAGGAAAACGTCAGGCACAAGCAGGAGGAGCTACAGCAGCTGGAGAGGCAGCGACAGCAGCAGGAGAAGCTTCTGGAAGAAGAGAACAAGAAGCTGAGGGAGAGGCTCGAGCAGATGCAGGAGGAGTACAAGGCTGCCCTGGCCCAGCGACGGGAGATCATGATCCAGACAGATGACCTGCCTGGGGAGGTGGTTACCACAACGCAGCTGCTGGACATCAAGGCTGTGCCCAATGGCCGGGATGCAGTGGATGGCTTAGCCCAGAATGGGGAGCCGGAGTTCGCCTTTGACGGCATCAGGCAGAAGGTGTCGGCAGAGAAGCTGGCTGATGCTGGCATTCTGAGCAGGGAGAGCTTAGACAAGTTGGCAAAGGGAGTTGTGAGCGTGGGCGAGCTCTCTCAGAGGGAGGATGTCAAGAAGTACCTGCAGGGCAAGAGCAGCATTGCTGGTTTGCTGATCAAACCCTCCAACCAGAAGATGAGCATCTACGAAGCCATGAAGAAGAAGCTGCTGAGCCCAGGCACAGCCCTGGTGCTCCTGGAGGCACAGGCCGCTTCTGGCTTCATCATTGACCCCGTGCGGAACGCGAGGCTCTCGGTGAATGAGGCGGTGCGGGAGGGAGTGATCGGGCCAGAGCTGCACAACAAGATGCTGTCGGCCGAGCGGGCCGTCACCGGCTATAAAGATCCGTACACAGGTGACAAGATCTCCCTGTTCCAGGCCATGCAGAAGGATCTCATTGTCAGGGATCACGGCATCCGCCTGCTCGAGGCCCAGATCGCCACCGGCGGCATCATCGATCCCGTCAACAGCCACCGCCTGCCCGTGGAAGCCGCCTACAAGCGCGGCTACTTCGATGAGGAGATGAATCAGGTCCTGTCTGACCCCACTGACGACACCAAGGGCTTCTTCGACCCCAACACTCAGGAGAACCTCACCTACCTGCAGCTCATGGAGCGGTGCGTGACTGACCCGGACACGGGGCTGTGCCTCCTGCCCCTCACCGACCAAGCAGCCAAAGCTGGAGAGCTGGTCTACACTGACAAGGAAGCCAAGGATGTCTTCAAGAAGGCCACAGTGACGGCACCGTTTGGCAAGTTCCAAGGGAAGACGATGACCATCTGGGAGCTCATCAACTCTGAATACTTCACTGAGGACCAAAGGCGGGACCTGATCCAGCAGTACAGGACTGGCAAGATCACGGTGGAGAAGATCATCAAGATCGTCATCACGGTTGTGGAGGAAAGTGAGAAAAAGAGCCAGATGTGCTTTGAGGGCCTGCGGGGCCCCGTGCCCGCTGCCGAGCTGCTCGAGAGCAAGATCATCAACAAGGACCTCTACAACCAGCTGCACCAGGGCAAGAAGTCCATAAAGGATGTGGCAGAGATGGAGTCCGTACGGCAGTACCTGAAGGGCACGGATGCCATCGCTGGTGTCCTGGTGGAGTCTACGGGCCAGAAGCTCACCTTCTACGAGGCCCTGAAGAGGAACTTGCTGAAGCCAGAAGTTGCCCTGTCCCTGCTGGAGGCACAAGCTGCCACCGGCTACATCATCGACCCTGTGGGTAACAAGCTCTTCTCTGTGGATGAGGCGGTGAAGGCTGAGGTGGTGGGGCCAGAGTTCCACGAGAAGCTGCTGTCGGCAGAGAAGGCAGTGACTGGCTACAAGGATCCCTACACAGGTCAGACGGTTTCCCTCTACCAAGCGCTCCAGAAGGGCCTCATCCCCAGCGACACTGGGCTCCGGCTGCTGGACGTCCAGCTTGCCACCGGTGGCATCATCGACCCCGTCAACAGCCACCGGCTCCCGCTTGAGGTCGCCTACAAGCGCGGCTACTTTGACGCGGAGATAAACAAGGCTCTGTCTGAGCTCCGAGACGATGCCAGGGCTTTCTACTGTCCCAACACCCAGGAACACCTCACCTACGCCCAGCTGCAGAAGAGCTGCCACCGCGACAAGCAGACCGGCCTGTGTCTGCTGCCCCTGTCCGACAAGGCGATCCAGTCGCAGCAGGAGGAGGTCTACACCGACAGCCAGGCCAAGGAGTGCTTCGACAAAGCAACCATAGAGGTCCCGGTGGGCAGCATGAAGGGCCAGACAATGACCATCTGGGAGCTGATCCACTCTGAATACTTCACAGAGGAGCACAGGCGGGAGCTGCTCCGACAGTACAAGACTGGCAAAGTGACAATCGAGAAGATCATCAAGATCGTGATCACCATCATCGAGGAGGCAGAGACCAAAAAGCAGGAGAAACTGACATTCAGCGGTCTGCGTGCACCGGTGCCAGCCAGCGAGCTGCTGGAGTCCCGCATCATCAGCAAAACCCAGTACGAGCAGCTGAAGGAAGGCAAGAAATCAGTGAAGGACCTCTCTGAGACAGACGCGGTGAGGAGATTCCTGCACGGCAGTGACTGCATTGCCGGTGTCTATGTGGAAGCCACCAAGGAGAAGCTGAACATCTACGAGGCCATGAAGAGGAACCTGCTGAGGCCCAGCACTGCCGTGGTCCTCCTGGAGGCCCAGGCAGCCACTGGCTTCTTGATTGACCCTGTGAAGAACCGTAAGCTGTACGTCAACGAGGCGGTGAAGGCTGGCATCGTCGGGCCTGAGCTGCACGAGAAGCTGCTGTCGGCTGAGAAGGCTGTCACGGGGTACAAGGATCCCTACTCGGGCGATACCATCTCCCTGTTCCAGGCCATGAAGAAAGGGCTTATTGTCAAGGAGCACGGCATCCGCCTGCTGGAGGCCCAGATCGCCACCGGCGGCATCATCGACCCCGTGCACAGCCACCGCCTGCCCGTGGAGGTGGCCTACAAGCGTGGCTACTTCGACGAGGAGATGAACCGGACCCTCTCCGACCCCACCGACGACACCAAGGGCTTCTTTGACCCCAACACTCAGGAGAACCTGACGTACCTGCAGCTGAAGGAGAGGTGCATCGAGGACCCCGAGACGGGGCTATACCTGCTGCCTCTGCGGGAGCCTGAGAAGCCAAAAGTGGTGGAAACCACTCACATGTACACAGAAGCGGAGACACGGAAGGTGTTTGAGGAGACACAGGTGGACATCCCTGTGGGCAGCCGGGCAGGCTCCTCCATGTCGCTGTGGGAGATCATGCACTCGGACCTGCTCCCTGAGGAGCAGCGTAAACATCTCATGGAGGAGTTCCAGTCGGGCCGCGTGTCCAAGGAGCGCATGATCATCATTATCATCGAGATCATCGAGAAGACTGAGATCATCCGGCAGCAGAACCTCACATCCTATGACTACGTCCGGCGCCGCATCACAGCTGAGGACCTCTACGAGGCCAAGATTATCTCACAGGACATCTACAACCTGCTGAAACAAGGCTCCAAAACCTTCCGGGAGCTCCTGGACGTGGAGACTGTCTGGAAGTACCTTTACGGGTCGGGCTGCGTGGCTGGCATCTACATCCCCTCCTCCAAGCAGACACTCAGTGTCTACCAGGCGCTGAAGAAGGGGCTGATTAACCCCGAAGTGGCCCGCTCCCTCCTGGAGGCCCAGGCAGCCACCGGCTTCATTATTGACCCCACGAAGAATGAAATGCTGACTGTGGATGAGGCAGTGAGGAAGGGCGTGGTGGGGCCAGAGATCCACGACCGGCTCCTGTCTGCTGAGAGGGCTGTGACCGGCTACAGAGACCCATACAGCGAACAGAAGATTTCCCTTTTCCAGGCCATGAAGAAAGATCTCATTCCCAGCGAAGAGGCCCTCAAGCTCCTGGACGCCCAGATCGCCACCGGCGGCGTAATTGACCCTCACTTGGGCTTCCACCTGCCCCTGGAGGTGGCCTACCAGCGGGGCTTCATCAACAGGGAGACGTACGACATGCTGTCGGAGCCCAGCGAGGTGCGCAGCTACGTGGACCCCTCCACAGACGAGAAGCTCAGCTATACCCAGCTGCTGAAGCGGTGCCGGAAGGACGAGAACTCCAGGCTCCTCCTGCTCCCGCTCTGCGACACACGGAAGCTCACCTTCCGGGGGCTGCGGAAACAGATCACCGTGGAGGAGCTGGTCCTCTCGCAGGTGATGGATGAGGCCACAGCCCAGCGCCTCCAGGAGGGTCTCACCTCTGTTGAGGAGGTCTCTAAGAACCTGAAGAAGTTCCTGGAGGGCACCAGCTGCATCGCTGGCGTCTTTGTGGACTCCACAAAGGAGCGTCTGTCCATCTACCAGGCCATGAAGAAGGGGATCATCCGGCCCGGCACTGCCTTCGAGCTCCTGGAGGCGCAGGCGGCCACGGGCTACGTGATTGACCCCATCAAGGGCCTCAAGCTGACAGTGGAGGAAGCTGTGCGCATGGGCATTGTGGGCCCCGAGTTCAAGGACAAGCTGCTCTCCGCTGAGAGGGCCGTCACCGGCTACCGGGACCCCTACACCGGAAAGCTCATCTCCCTCTTCCAGGCTATGAAGAAGGGTCTGATCCTGAAGGACCACGGGATCCGCTTGCTGGAGGCACAGATCGCCACGGGAGGCATCATTGACCCTGAGGAGAGCCACCGCCTGCCCGTGGAGGTGGCCTACAAGCGGGGCCTCTTTGATGAGGAGATGAACGAGATCCTGCTGGACCCCAGTGACGATACCAAGGGCTTCTTCGACCCCAACACAGAGGAGAACCTCACTTACCTGCAGCTCATGGAGCGGTGCATCACAGACCCAGAGACTGGCCTCTGCCTCCTGCCTCTGAAGGAGAAAAAGCGGGAGAGGAAGACCTCCTCCAAGTCCTCCGTCCGCAAGCGCCGGGTGGTGATCGTTGACCCGGAGACGGGCAAGGAGATGTCCGTGTACGAAGCTTATCGCAAGGGCCTCATAGACCACCAGACTTACCTGGAGCTGTCAGAGCAGGAGTGCGAGTGGGAGGAGATCACCACCTCCTCCTCTGATGGCGTGGTGAAGTCAATGATCATCGACAGGCGCTCGGGCCGCCAGTATGACATCGATGATGCCATTGGCAAGGGTCTGATTGACCAGTCAGCCCTGGACCAGTACCGCTCGGGCACCCTCTCCATCACCGAGTTTGCTGACATGCTCTCTGGCAACATGGGTGGCTTCCGGTCACGGTCGTCCTCAGTTGGATCCTCCTCCTCCTACACCGTCAGCCCAGCCCTGTCACGGACCCAGATCTCCATGTGGACTGACCCAACCGAAGAGACTGGGCCAGTGGCAGGCATCCTGGACACGGACACTCTGGAGAAGGTGTCCATCACCGAGGCGATGCGCCGCAACCTGGTGGACAACATCACAGGGCAGCGGCTGCTGGAAGCCCAGGCCTGCACCGGGGGCATCATCGACCCCAACACTGGTGACAAATGCACCGTCGCTGACGCGGTCACCAAGGGCCTGGTGGACAAGATCATGGTGGACCGCATCAACCTGGCGCAGAAGGCCTTCTACGGCTTTGAGGACCCGCGGACCAAGACAAAGATGTCGGCGGCGCAGGCACTGAAGAAGGGCTGGCTGTACTACGAGGCCGGGCAGCGGTTCCTGGAGGTGCAGTACTTGACAGGGGGCCTGATCGAGCCCGATGCCCCGGGCCGCGTCTCCCTGGACGAGGCGCTGCAGAAGGGCACCATTGATGCGAGGACTGCCCAGAAGCTGCGGGATGTCAACACCTATTCCAAGTACCTCACCTGCCCCAAGACCAAGCTCAAGATCTCCTACAAGGACGCCATGGACCGGAGCATGATCGAGGATGGGACTGGCCTGCGGCTGCTGGAGGCTTCCTCCCAATCCAGCAAGGGCTACTACAGTCCCTACAACATCAGCAGCGCCGGCTCCACCTCCGGCTCGCGCTCGGGCTCTCGCACCGGCTCCCGCTCAGGCTCCCGGCGTGGCAGTTTCGACGCCACCGGCTCCGGCTTCTCCATGACCTTCTCTTCCTCCTCCTACTCCTCCTCGAGTTTCGGGCGCAGATACGCAGGGGGCACCCAGGGCGCCGTGGAGGTGGCTGCCCTTGCCCTCGCCCTGGCCTCATCCAGAAGCTGCGGGTGGGAGGCGAGCAGGGAGAGCTCCGGGGCGTGTGAGCCCCTGCTCCACGTGGCCTGAGACCTGCCAGCCCCCCGAGGCGCTGCCTCACCCGCTCCGCATGTGGCAACGCTGCTGGCTAATCACTAGTATTTTTTTTTTAATTTTGAACCTCCACTCTTCTCCCAAAGCAGTGCCTCAAGTTTAACCAAAAAGACAAGACTAATAAATTAATATATGAGAATGTGCTGACAGTGTTTGTATATTAAGAGACAAGAGACAACACACACTACCCTCCCCACCCTGTGCCCCAGGAGCCGGACACTGTTCCTGCTCCTGGCTGCGCCAATCCCGCCGCTGCTCGCACACGGCGCAGCCGAGCCGGACACCAGGAAAACAGTTCCCTGTTTGGATCTAACCACTTAGCACTCTTTTGTAATTAACCTGCCGGCTTCAGCCCCTGCACCCCAAAGGAGGAGACTGCCTTGGCCCCGTGGTGCACCCCACCGCAGCTGATGTGCCAGAGGAGGACATTGCAGGCTCCTCGGCACTGGACAGCCAGACACACCACACCAGCCCTGAAGCTGCTGCCTGGACCCCTTCCACATGTCCTCACTGCAGCGAGGAGGGGGCTCTGCACCCCAGCCCCCGAGCTGCCCCATCTCCCTGCCTTGGCCTCCCGGCACGTCCCCACCACCACGCCGCGGAACCGGTGCCCCAACCGTAAGTGCCGCGCTGGCGCTGCCCGGTGCTTCCGCGCCACGCGGGGGGACCTGCCTCCGCTCGCCGCTTCG